TAACACCTGGTCTTACATATTCTTGGCCTTCTTTGCAACATCAATTGTGTTATACAAACACATAGTTACAACAGCCAAAGAAAAGCTAAAGTAAAAATAAAGGGGACCAAGAGCCCAACTAAAGCAAACGCTGATCACCACAATGGTGACACTTCAAATGAAACAAATATCAACATCTAAACCTCTGCTAATTCTCACTAAGATCATCTGACAGCAATAGTCAAAGTAATTATGTATAAATGAGACCATAAATGATGTAAAAAAATATGTCCACAATGACCACATTTGAACTAGTTTTTAAACTTGTACGAAGAGGGTCCATGAACGTCTATATCGGACGTGCAGAACACGTGCTCCTCAGTGGACGTCTTTTCAACGTCCGACTTTTGTGACAAAGACGTTGAAAAGACGTCTACTAGGCCGCTGTACGTGAGCTGTATCGTTCAGTTTCGTTCCGACTAACGGGGCACTACATTTTCTTTTGCTCAATATGTTCAACGTTAATAAAAGGTATCCAAGCAAAAAGTTCTCCACGCATTATCCTGCAGTTAATGAGAAAAGTGTAATTTATTGGCGCACTATATTGACTGCGTATTGAGACATATAAAACTGTTTAGCTAGATTTTCAACCAATCAGCATCGAAAATGTAAGTAGGTCACAGCCAAAATCAAGCTAATATCACTACGCACATGTAAACATTGAGGAGGACGTAAGCAGCGCATCTTCATCTGATAGCGGCGATCAAGCTCGATTAACACCCGTAAAGTGTATTCTTCATGTCGGAAAAGATGGCGGGAAGGTCCGCAGCCCTTTACTGAACTCCGATGGGAACAAATCAAGCAATGTGCGAAGGAATGGCTCAAAACGTCGGACACTACGGAGCTAGCTATCCCATGCTGCAGGTAAGTTACTTTCATAACATATCAATATTTGTTCATTATCTTTGAGTGATGCTAATTTACAAACTTCCCGATCAGAATCCCGATAAAAACATCGACACGATGAGAGACGTTGTCCTCCGTTGGTTGATCTGTTATCTGGGTGAAAAATAGGATAACCTCATCCATGAGTACAATGTAAGTGACAAGAATTATTCTATATATTTATGGTGTTTTGAGAAATGTATTTGTACATCGTTTTTATTTATAAAAATAGAAAGGCAACTTAAACAATAATCTTTTTTCTAATTAAATTATATAAAGCTAATGTGAAAATATTTAACACAAAATAGATTTTTGTCAGCCACTTATATGAAAAAAGGTAACACTTTATTTTGATGGTCCACTTTAGACATTCTACTGACTATAAGTAACTGCAACTACATGTTAACTTACTCTATTAACCCTAACCTAGCAGTCTACTAATACTCTGTGTTAGTTGACATGTTACTATACAGTTAGTAGAATGTCTAGAGGACCAGCGAAATTTAATTTCCCCCTCTACAATAGTGTCACCAAATGTAATTTTAAATTTATTTAATTTTTTCTTCCTGAATACACCCTCTGTCATTGGTGAAACTGTACTTATGTTATTGTGACAGTCTTTGTGGTCCGCAAAGTGGTGGTCTTTGTGGTTTCAGTGATTACAAAGAAAATAAACTATAATGGTGTCTTAGCATTTTAAGCTGTTATAAGAAATTTTTACAACCGTACACAAATCAAGTTTATAATTATGGACAGACTTATAATGAGACAGACGAGATAAAAATACTTCTTTAATGTTTGTTTTACAGTGTGACAATGGAGATATCCTGTAGCACATAATGAAAATTGCCATCTGCAAGAGGGATTCTCAGGAGGATTTCAGCATCATCTTGGAGGGGATGCAAGTCATGGCTGGCTTGGAAAATCTGGCAAGAGCCTGTGCTGTTCTTCTTGGACTCACGTATGCACTAAACCTCACCTACCCGAAAGAACTGAGGCACACTTTTGAGGCCTTTCAGAAGCTCTTCTTGGAACTGGATGTTTGCAAGTTTTCCCCGAAATTACTAACACTTAAAAACAAACTCATGACTTAGATTGAGACAATGCATTATGACCAAGTTCTGGTGGAAAAAAAAACTGTATTGATTGATGAACGTTTAATATTGTTCTACAAGCTTTCAGCAAGTACAAATTATTTGTTTTGCTACAAGTTAATCACAAGTTTTAGTCAAGAATGTGACTTTTCCAACAGCAATTTGTATGCACATGTTTTTGTGTAACAAAATTATTTTTCTCAATGACATGGAAAATGTTAGCATTATTTTGCTTTTATTTTTCATATCTTAAAACTGCTGTCTTACATTTTATATAGATTTGTTTTTTTTGTGCAAAAAAAATACAGAATAAAAGCATGTTTGATAACAAAAAGTGCATTATGAAGTCATTATTATCTTAACCTGAAAAATGCAGTAAATGTTATAATTAAGTCAATTTCATTAATACAAATGAGTAAATTCTGCTTAATTTATTATTGAGACAACTTATATTAAAAAAGCACATTCCACACTAATAATATTAAATGCATCATGTGCCATAGACTAAATAATTTAGGAAATTTTACTTAATTTATTTGGGTAGATTTCACACAAAAAAAACCCTCAAAATCTACTCAAATATAATACGTGTAATATTGTTACCATAATTGTTTTAAGTATAGCATGTAAAAAATGTGTACATGCAGTGCAGTTACTGCTCGTGTATGCGAATTGACAATTCACCATTAAATGCGTTATTTTGAAAAGTGTTTTTTTAATATATATATAGCCTATATATATATATATATATATATATATAAATAATATTTTGGCTAAATTCTATTTGTAATTCAGATTTTACCTCAAATATTACCTTTGAATTGGAACAACATAATGAGAAGTAATTGGGATGTTAATGCTACAGTAGAAGTTTTCTTGATAATCTTGTCATGTTTACTGTGCCTAGATTGCAACTTCAGGTATATCACATATTTTAAACTGGTTTATTTTGTACCTCAAGTGGTAATTCGGCATTTTTGGGTTTATGTGATAAACCGGTTTGAAAGTGCAAAATTCCCTATGTTTTCCCTTTATTTCAAAATGGGCACCTTTAGCATCATTTTTCTCAAAAACTGCAAGGTTGTGTGCGGAGAACTTTTTCCTAAGGAATCTCTATATATTTCTGATGTTAAATATAAAAAAAGTAGGTAGTGCCCCACGTGGTGGAACGAAACCCTATTTCTAGGCCTCTTTTAGGCTACCGACAGCGGCCTATAGTCTTTTGGACATCATTTTGCTTAGTGATGTTTGTTTACTATGGGTGTCAAAAAACCTTTTCATAAATGGTTCTACAAAGAACCTAATAAAGTGACATGAAGAACTGTTATAGGTTCTTTAAAGAACCTTTGAGAATGGTTCTTCAAGGAACCTTTCAGTGAAAGGTTCTTTGGGGAACCAAAAAAGGTTCTTCTATGGCATCGCTGTGAAACCCCCTTTTTGGTTCTTCCTGGCACCTTTATTTTTAAGAGTGTAAACTAAGCAATGTTTATTTACAGAATAAAAAAAGAAGAAAATGAGAAAGAGAGGAGAATGGCAAGATTACAATCAGATAACCACGGCCTATGAGAAACATCAAATAATCAGGATCTCCAGCAGGCACATGATGTAGACTTTTTGTTGAAATTAAAGTCGGGTTGACATCTAAATCCAACGTTTGTTTTTACATCAAGCTCCAACGTTGGGCAGACGTTGAGTTTTTGTTGGAGTAAACACCAAAAAAAAAAAGTTTAATGCATTTAATGCATCTTTCTGTCAGACGTCTACAGAAGTTCTTATTGAGAACAAACAGGATTAGATGTAAATGTTTGTTTGAAAATGTTTAGTGTGAAGTCACCATCAGAAAATCAGTGTTGTGCAGTTTGATTTTTAACATTAGTTTATCTCTTGCTGCTGTTACTGTGTTATGGCAAGAACTGCAAGAGAAATTGCGTTCAGAAAATGTTGGCTACTTGATGATGCTAAAGACATGATCATCATGTAGTGTTTGATTCACTGATCATATTCAGAATCTATTATTTTAGATATCATGTTAATAATTTCACATTATTGATTGTAATAGTCCTGTAATTGTCCAGCAGTGGATGAATCTCAATAATGGTGACATGCCTCATGCCGCAATGCATTCTGGGTGCATCATACAAAACTCATCTATGGCTCCCAGAATGCATTGTGGCATTAAACATGTCACCATAGTTGATATTAATTTGCTGATTATTGATGTCTGAGTGAGTGTGATAGATGCTGGAGTTCAAATTGTTTAGTGGAAAATGTAGAATTACAGGCTTGCTATAAATAATAATGCAAAATGACAGCATATCAAAAGATTAAATTCTGGATGGCATCAGTGAAACAGACCACTATATGATGATTATATCTTTATCATCAAGAAGACATTATCATTTGATCACATTTTCTCTTGCCACAACAAACACAGTTACAACAGCCAGAGAAAAACTAATGTAAAAAAGTCAAGTCAAACTACCCAACTAAAGAAATACTGATCACCATAATGATGACTTCACACCAAACTATTATTTTCAATAAAACATCAACATCTAAACCTAATCTTAATAAGAACTTCTGTAGATGTCTGACAGAAATAAAGTCAATCTGGTTAGTAATAAGTGAAGCTGGTAATGCTGTGGAGTTGTTTAATCCTCCTCTGCTGAGATCTTGATAGATTTAATTTGCTTCCATGCATTTCACCCCTTTTTTCAGTGCGGTGCTTATTCTAACCAAAATTCAACATCTATCTGATGTTGGAGCTTGACGTCAAACAAACGTTGGGTTTAGACGTCAACCCAACTTTCATTTTCAACCAAAATATAACGTCTGACTGACGTTGGATTAGTTGGGAGTCCAACGTCTTCCGGAAGTCATGTTGATGTAGTGTGTTTGCTTTGAAGAGGCAATACTTAGAGTGTCATATACATTGGGAGTATATTAGTAATAATTACAATGGCATTCTGCATGTGTGTGCAGGTCAACCACCTGGGGATACAGTGAAGCCGCTGGCAGGACGGGCTCTGAGATGGGCCATGCAGGATTGGCAGATTCCTCAAGATCCTATGGGAGGTTCCCTCATACCCCACTACTGCCAGGGTTTCTTTGATGCCATCACCATGGGTAAGAACTGGACATTTTAATTGACACATTAACACTTTTCCTCGAACTGTGTAAAGCTGTTGTTTTTCTGTAGATGAGAATGGGACAGTGCTGGTGTTTCAGGGCCATCATTTCTGGACGGTGTCTTATGGCAGTGTGAGCGATCCTCTTCCGCTTCAGACTCGCTGGCCGCAGCTGCCCTTGGCTATTGAAGCAGCTGCTTTCTCCACGTTTGACAGCAAACTCTACTTCTTTAAAGGTAAAGACCTCAGGAGTTCAGACCGTTACCCAAACACAGGTAATACAATGTCCAGGGCAGTCCCCCATGTTCCAGAGTGCAGTTTTGTCCAGGGTACATCTGGTCTCATGGTGATATAGTGTATGTTTAGTGTATATGAAGAGTTCAGATGCAAAAGCCTCTAAACGCCACCTCCGTCAAAAATGAGATAATGACATTGAGTGAAAGCTATCTGAACACAGTACACGTTCAACAAATATATTTGCTTCAAATCCTCGAAATCTCAGCCTCAGCCCATTCAGAAATATCAGTTTGTCGGCAAAAGCCTCTAGACGCCACTTCCCTTTGGCAGCAAAAGCCACTACATCCCGAGAACCAATCAGAAGGCGCGAGCCGCGCGAATCAGTACAGGCTGTTTCAATAGAGCGGTGCGCTGAGGAGACGGATTTTTTGAGACGGCTGAGGAGATTGTTTTGTTTTTGGATTCAGATTTTTTACATTTTTAAGATGGAGTACGATGAAATGGAGGAGCCTGTCCTACTGACATCAAAAGGCAGAAGAGAACGTCGTTTATCTACCTCAAATCTCTTCCCGTTAATTTACAAGGCAAAAGAAAATCGGTAACTTTACAGTGAAAATAGCTTGGTCGCAAGTGTAGCATGCACTCATAACAGTTCTTGGTGCAGTGCTGTAACTTTGAAGGAATTTGATTTATTATATTTGAGATATACATTATAATATTACTTTACATTATTTAAGTCTTATAAGCTTCTTATACAAAATGCACAGATATTGATGTTTAAGAATGTTGCTCTGTTCTACTTGATTATACAAACTAAAACTATTAAACTATTTTAATCGCCAATTCTTTTTGCCAATGTGGTTGTACTGTGTGAATCGGGGGGGCTTTTGTCTTTATTCAGACAGGGCAGAAAGGTGACTGCAGAGAAATGGGGTGGGATTTGCAAATAATTGCAGATCTCATTCAGCCCCCCTGTAAAGAGGTGTGTCTACTGTTTAGTTTTGAAATGAATGTGCTCTAATCTTTTTCAGTGTTTCTAGTTACATTTTTATTGATTTTTCAGCTATTTACTATGTCTTGTCCCAAAGAGGTGGATTTAGAGGTTTTTGCGAAAAAAGCACAAGTGGATTTAGCTGTTTTTGACGCAAAAGAAAATCGAATTTGTTAAAAATCACTGAATTGACTCAAGTGACATTTTTGAAAAAAAGTTATTTTATTCAATGACTAATAAACTTATCAGTACCTTTAAAATGAAACTACTGGACGTGAACATAGGAGCCTGATAAAAAATGCTCATTTAAAGAAAATAAGTCTGACGGATTTAGAGGGTTTTGCATCTGAACTCTTCATATGTTTACCCAATTACAAAACCTGCTTTTGGGGATTTGAGGGTTGACACTGCATTCAGTTTTAAATTCAAAATTGGATTGCATTTCTCTTGCATGTCTATTTTACTTCAATAAGAATAGTTTGGAAATATGGCACATTATGTCAGGAATAAAGTAAAGCCGTTTCAGGAAGAGCAAGTTTTACATTTAGATTACTAAGGCAAATAGTTTATTTTAAACAATATGCACAGATGAATTGTTCACAATAGGAGCAGGAACCAGCAGAAAAAAGTAAATATAGTAAATACTGCAAGTTTCATTTTTCCTTAACTGTTCATTCACAAGTTCACCTTGATGAACAGATTTGCTGTCCTTGAAAGGAGGGGCTCAGTCCTGAGACTCAGCTAGAGCGAATTAAACCCCAGGACTGCAGAATTGGACAGAATGAGGACATTTAGAATTGAAGAGGAGATGGGATAGTGGTGCCGGCTTGACATGCAGAGTGCTTAATGACATCTAGTGTATTTTTTCCAAATGTTTTCAATGGGAGCGCTTGCGTTTTTGGACCCAGCCGTCCAATCACAGTGGAGGATGGACTAACACCACACTGACCAATTGCCACATTGTGCTTGTACAACGTCAACAGAGGACAACAACGAGCATAATAACCGAACAAAATCATTTAAAACAAGAGCCAGAGCAAAAATTTTACTTTGTATCAACATTTTTATATAGAAACAACACAGAAACAAACTATCTGTGAAATGAGATACTAGTTACACTTCTGTGGATATTCGGTATCATAGCAAGCAAAGTGTCTCAACTGAAATAAACAAACAAGCAAACAAACAAATAAAAAACACTGCTCGGCCAAAACGCTCTCAAGGGCCCACAGCTTTGGTGAACTTACATTTACAACTTTATTTATTTATATGAATTTTATCATTCATATAGCCATACTGATGTTTTTGTTGTGAACAAGCGTTCCATAGGCTTTGGAAAACACTGTGAACAGAAAAACAAACCATTTTTATATTCCATAGAAGAAGACATAAAGGACTGATACAATTCAAAGTGATTTATAAAGCGCTTTTCACAATACACTGTTTCAAAGCAGCTTTACAGAAAATCATGAGGCTGCTAATGTTTATAAAATATTTTAGCAGATTAGAGCTGTGAGATAATATACACTGTTAACCCTTGCTGTAAAAAAAAGTGACAGTATCATACAATTTTTCATTAAAACAGTAATATACCGTAGAAAACAATGCATTCTGGGTTATATTTGCATTTTCGAGAAAGTAGCCTACAGCCTACTGTGAGTTAACAGCGCTCAAAGTCGATACTCAGAGGCTGTGTTCCCAATCACACCCTATACCCTCAATCACTATTCACTACATTAGTTCACTAATATGGTCCACTTGAATGAAAAGAAGTGAGTGAATTGAGATACTGATGAACACCTGATTAGCAGAATCACTGAAGGACAGAGAAATAAGAACAGAAAAAAGAGAAACACAAGAACTACAATGACTTCCAGCAACACTGATTGTGAAATCAGTTTACAAACCAGTTTACGATTATTTCTTTCATACACGTACAAAAGTTCTTGTTGAGAATTAACAGAGATTTAGTTAATAATAAAGTTTGTAGTCACCATAATGGAGATCAGTATTTGCTGTAGTTGGTCTCTTGACCCTTAACTTCTTACAATTTATCTCTCTCTGACTGCTGTAACAGTGAGTTTATAAAGCACATCTGTTATTGCAAGAAAAAGTCAAGAGGAAGTTGATCAGGTGTTTTTGGCTTTTGTGATGATGTCACAAAAATCCTGGACTTGTCTGATTTTCAGATCTTTCCTGTATATATTCTTATGGGAATTTCATATTTAGCATATATCTGTGAATCTACAACATGAAATCAATATTTCTGTAATCAGGTCTTCTGAAGAATATTTTAACCATATATTGCATTAAAAATGTTTTCACTCCTGCTTAACTTAGACACACACAGACATCAACAATCAGTGTATGAATCTCAACAATGGTGACAATCAAAAGTTTCATGTCGCAATGCATGCTGGGTTCCAGGATAGTATAAAACTCCCAGCATGCACTGCTGCATGAATAAAAAAAAATATTGCCACCATTGTTGAGATTCATGTGTTAAATTGTGATATCTCTGTTTCTAAAAGATAGTGTAGCTCTATTTTTTTGGTTTATGTATGATGTGTTAAAAAATAGAGTCATAGTAATTTATTGCTGTGGATTCACAGTGGTGGTAATGTAACACTTTTGATTGAGGATTCAACTCTGAATGAGTGAGAATGAATTAGATTACTGAATGAACAGGCAATATGATGATTTTGTCATCACAATCGCACTCATTCATAAACTGTGTGTGCACAAGTGTGACTTGCAAAAATGCAGCAAAAGAAACACTAATGCTTTAGCATCAGCATCCCAACTAAAGCAAACACTGATCTCTATAATGGTAACTTCAAACCAAACAACTTCTGTAGATGTATGACAGAAATAAAGTCACACTGGTTAATAATAAGTATAATAATGTTAAATGGCTGGAAGTCAGTTGCATATTCACTGAATTATCTGCAACACTGCGTCAATGTTACTTTTTACTCTTTGTAGTGTGGATTTTCCTGTGGGGTTGAAAGGGTTAACAGTGTAAGGTAAAAAGACACACCCACAAAATGTATTTTGACAGCAATAAACTGTAAGTTATAAAACAGGTTTATACTGGCAACACTGTTGCCAGTAGTTTACTGTAAAATCTTGTTTTTTGGGTCACCATTGTGCTGAAGAGTAGAGCCTGTGCTTCAGTCCAGGAGAAGATCTACAAACATTGATGATACGCTGTGTGTTGCTTTATTTAAAGGAGAACTCCGGTGCAAAATGAACCTTTGGTCTAATTACACATTGTTACCTAGTCAACCGTTATCTGAGATTTGTTTTCATGATTATCGAATGTAAATAGTTTTATCTCTACAAACAGTTTAGCCTATAAAGCTAGTATAACGCTAGTATATTGTGCATAGTGTAATGACGAATAAAAATCGCTTGTTAATACCACTAACAAGGCTCAAAATAGCCCCACACTAGCACGGTAGCATAATGAGGGTCCCTACCTTCAAACCGAAGCATTGAGAACTTTGTCAGTGTCCAGACAGTTTAATAAGAAGATATTTTGAACATACAGTCAACTTCGCGTATACAGGCAGAAGCCATCTTTGAAATACAGCCTTTACCAGTCGATCTACGAACGCCGATCTAAGCCTGCTGTTCGCGCTCACCTTATCACAACTTATAGCTCGTTCACATTCTCACCAGCGCACTTGGATCGGCGTTCGTAGATCGACTGGTAAAGGCTGTATTTCAAAGATGGCTTCTGCCTGTATACGCGAAGTTGACTGTATGTTTAAAATATCTTCTTATTAAACTGTCTGTTGTAGCCACATTGAGATGTGCCTTAATTAGCTCAAATTATGCATAGGGAATTTTAATAATTAATCATGAATATGATTAATATATTGCATATTACAGTTAAATTATCGAAATTGAAAATAGATCGATTCTATATATGAATGGTAAATCATAACGAATTATAATTCCTCATTCATATATCAATGGTCTCATTACAGATCGATTATATGAGACAACTTTAAGGGAATCAATTTAGTTTATCAAACAATCGGTTTGTCCAGCAAACAGCCGTAAGGTTAACTAACCCACTTCTCAACAAGGTTGTCCCTTTTTATAAACTCCAAGAAATCTCAATGTTCCGGCCGTGAACATTAATTTTCAGGTGTTTATAAAATTTACGTTACTGATATAGTAACAACTTGTAAAGCTTTTGTAGCTATAGGACCGCATTTCATTGACTTATAAAGTATGAGCATTCAAAAACAATCAAAAATATAATGGTTTTAATTAAATGAAACTACGGATACAGAATTCTACATTTAAACACGGGATACATGTATGTACAGTAAACAGTAAAACTAATGATACAGACGAACAACAAACAGGAGTGAGAGAGAGAGATTGCGAGAGCGCAAGATTGGGAGTGAGAGAGAGAGAGAGAGAGAGAGTGAGAAGATGAGAGATCTTCTGGTTTGGCAAAATTCATCACAGACACAGAACCTTTTTAGACACCAAGAATCAACAGATCTTAAACCTTGAAAGAATGGTAAACGGTTACTTGCACAGGTAAAGCTCTTTGTGGTTGATGTGAAGCAGGGTGCGTGTCTCTGTCCTCGCGTCATGCGTTCACGTGGTCTTTCAGAGCGGGCAAAGCGCGTTAGTTTGAATGAAGGCTTAAAGGTATTTGGTTCTCCTGGTGTTGCTGAGGAAAACTGTGTCTTGTGTGTGTGTATCTCTGTCATGTGGCTGCCGAGCGTTCGGGTTCGTCCAGCGAGCCCGGCGTGTTTGAATGTCCTTGTAGGTGAAGCTTGCCAGTCTGGCTGTGTTCATTTTCTTCGCGAGAAGACATGAACAGAGGAGCCTTCGAAAAAGATAAAATAAACTTGAAGAAAACAAAAAGAGAAACGATGGATCATCACACTAAGGCGATGTCCAGACGCACGAGGAGTCACATGATGAAGCCACGAAGAGCAGGAAGAGCCAGGGAGTTTTGGGCAGAGAGTTTTCAGGAAGCTTTCAGAAGCGTTTCAGAAGGGTTTCAGCAGCCGCCTAGGGAAGCTCGGCGCGTCTCTTTAAGGACACTTAGGTTCACGCCCCTTCTGGCATGAAGGCACCAATCAGCTGGGAGAAAAGTGCCCGCGGAAGATTCCTCTTTGTCTTGTCAGGATCATTTATGATGGTATAACATTTTGTCATTCCTACCCAGAAAGATTGTACAAACCGGACAATAGATTTTACAGTAATATCCTATGTATGACTGGTTCAGTCAAGACAAGACGGTCAAACAGCTACCAGACATGGCAGGTAAAAGTAGAAGAACATAGAGTTACATTCATATGCAGAATTACAAGCATTTTAAAGTTGGTTAACACGCTATAAAATTGTCAGTACTTCCTGTATGGCATGTGACGACATCTAAGCACAAAATGAATACATTTAAAACATTTAGAGGTACTTTTCTCTGAAAAGTTCCATGGCTGGTGTTGTGTGTTAATGTGTTGGAACATTCTTTTGATGAACTCTTAGACTTCAGAGCTATACACTAGCAAACCACACTTCTATTATAAAGCAAAGCTAATAAGATATGCATGCGTACAGGAAGGTTGGATACAATTTCTGTGTTATATACATTTATATACACATTATAGGACATTTGTGTGTGTGTGTGCATTAATGTGTGATTGTCCTTAAGCGTTCAGGCAGCTTTGTGGACTCTTTCTGTGGGGGGGGGGGGGGGGGGGGGGGATGCGTGTCTCGTGAGACGGCGAGGTACGAATGGTTGTCCATTTGTTGAAGACAACGCTAGCTTGTTCCAAATGTGTCATGTGCTAGCCATAGTGGCACCAATCTGGTCAACATGCCCGAAGGGGGTCGTATACAGAATGCCCCCTTTGTTTACTCACGAAGAACTGACCTTTGTTTGCAAATCGGGATTCGCTAATTTAGATACATCTCTCCGGATACCCTGTCAGAGTCACTACACTGTACACTTACAGAGTTCTCAATGCTTCGGTTTGAAGGTAGGGACCCTCATTCTGCTACCGTGTGTAGTGGTATTAACAAGCGATTTTTATTTGTCATTACACTATGCCCAATATACTAGCGTTATACTAGCTTTATAGGCTAAACTGTTTTTAGAGATAAAACTATTTACATTCGATAATCATGAAAACAAATCTCAGATAACGGTTGACTAGGTAACAATGTGTAATTAGACCAAAGGTTCATTTTGCGCCGGAGTTCTCCTTTAACAGACAGTGACTGTGTAGTTGCTGGTCCAGTGGAAATCTCTTTATTTACAAAAGTTTTTTTGTGGTTTCAAATGAAATAAGTTCACAGTAATACTTTGCTCAGGTTATTAATGCATTATACATTTTAGTTAATACATTTAAATGACAGTTGGTCAAATTAAGGCAGTCGGTTTCTGCAAGTGAAATTAGTTAACTCGAGTTTTAGTGCATTTTTACAGTAACATACTATAGATTACAGTAAAGAACTGTACAATTAACAGTTAATTGCTGGCAACAGAGTTGCCAGTATTTTACTGGAAAAAGACCTGGTAAGATCTAACAGTGTATAGTCAGTTTACATGAGTGTGTATCTGGGTATAGTATTTGATATACTAGTAGTTGTATAATTCGTTATTATTAATTTGTTAATTAATTTGTTATTAAAAAAACCTAAGAGTGAATAAAGGTCATTCTTAGGTAAACTATTCCTCTAAAGATGCATATTGTCAATACATCTCCATGTTTGTTCTCCTGGTAGGAAGACGGGTGTGGCGTTACTCGGGCTCTGATCTGGACCCTGGATTCCCCAGGAGGAACAGTAAACTGGGCTTACCTTCGCACCCTGACTGCGCCTTCTTCTACCAGCCTCTGGGCCACATGGTGCTCTTCAAAGGGTCCCGCTACTTTGTCCTGAACCTGGAGTCTCTGCGCATTGAGCCGTACTACCCTCGTGCCCTGAGGGACTGGAAGGGGATTCCCCGGGGGGCAAACGGCGCCTTGACTCGGCCCGATGGAAAACTGTATTTCTTTAAAGAGCGGCAGTACTGGAGGTTTGATCCCGGGAAGCTGAGCATTACTGCGACTGGACAGTGGGAAGAGAGGCTGCCATGGATCGGCTGCCACACCACTCCATCATAATGAGCTACTCCGACCAGAAGAGGCAGTCAGACTAGATCCACAATATTAAGAGGCGTTTGGGATATGTGCAATTAATGTAAGGCTTAAAGGTTTTGTCTGGGAAAAGGACAGAAAAACGTATGCAACGAGAGCTGGGTTGAAGTACACTGGCGGTCAAAAGTTGGGAATAATTAAAGTCACCCTGTGATGAAAATCAAGATGTCAACAGCATTACTGAGTATTTTCTCCTTAAAGCTACAATATGTACAAAACAGGAAGGAAGACGGCCTATGGTTTCTAACAAAGACGAAGCTTGATGAGGCTATGAAGGAGAGTGGAGCGATGGGAGAAGTCGTTTTCACCATCCAGAGATGTATAGAATTCACGAATCATATAAATTATATATCAGCCAATAAATTAGTTTTGTATCCCCTGTACGTTTGATGACACTATGTTATGTCATCGTAATAAATAAGCTGCCAGGAACGTGAAATGTAATGCTATATTAGCCTGTTACTAATATGTGACTATTTGTCAAATGATTTAGAGGGTTAATGCTGCAGTTTTACACGTTTTAAACAATCGCACTAAAAGTACATTTGAACGAACCCACAGTGTTTGCAAGTAATGACTAAATATTTTTGTGCAACACATAGGATACTTAATTTCACTGCCATAGACTTGATAAAAGGTGTTACTGAAGTACAAACAAAGTGCAATATAACTGTAGTGTACAATAAATAATATATAGCCTATTTGCTTACCCATATATTAAAACACATGCGAGAGCGGAGTCTCTGTGGACAGATCAAGTCCAAGGCTCAATCCCAATTCACCCCTTGGCCCTACCCCTTGTTTTTGAGTGTACCCCTTGGCCCTTAAAACAGAGTTACAAGTGCCAAGGGGTTGAAATATTCCCCTACGAAATGGAACAACCCTCCATGAACCCGATACATCATCAGTCGTCGGCGATGGCTCTGCCGTTACGGAGTTTTTACAGGATTTCTCCATGACAACGACTGACAATCAGTGCAGCTGCTCTTAACTTTGAGGAAACATGATGCTTATAACGTTCCTTCCTCTTTTCTGTTTCGGAAAGGTAATTTATTATACAATTTCTTAATTTAAATGACTATATCATTATTATAAGAGTAAATAAAGTGCACGGTGGTGTCATCTGGCGCTAAATTTAAATGTTTAACCGTTTGTGAAGCCATCTCGCCTGTGATTCGCGATGTATTCTATGAACTTTCTCGTAGCCCTCCGTTTGGAGTGTGCCTCTGAAAAATCTCCGTTTCGAGGGCTATGTAGCCCTACCCCTTAGCCCTACTCCTCGATCTAAACAAGAATCGGGACACCCTACACTCAAAAAAATGATATGTTGGCTTTACTTAACTTTTTTATGTAAACAGGTTCCACCGGTTCCACATAACTATGTTTCGTTAAACAAACATACTATGTTCATGTAACTTCAACATCATGGAATTTGGTCATTTTAAGCGACCCAATTAAACTCTGAGCTAATTAGTTAATTAAGTGAATAATTGAGTGATGATTGAGCATTATTGAAGACACCTGATGTTATCAAGCAGAATCTCTGTAGGAGAAAACCGGAATGTTTAAGTCACCATTATGGAGATAAGTATTTGTTTTAGTTGGGCTCTTGACCATTAACTTATTAACTTTAGATTTTGTTTGGTTGCTGTACATGAGTTATAACAGCCAGATGAACAATGAACTGAGGAGATCTGATGGTGTTGGTTGTGATTTAACATAATCATTTCACAATCATTTGACCTCAATCACTGAACTTATATTGAACCCAATTTCTGAGTTAAGTTTACCTTACTGTCATTGTAGAGCATACTATTTTTAGCCTTTTCAATGAAATTCAAATGATCAAATCAAGAAATAAAAAATAAACTTCTTAAAAAAATATCCTCAGTAGGCACACACAGACATCAAGAATCAGCATATGAATCTCAGCAATGGTGACAAACAGATCATAAGCTCATTATTTATTCATGCAGCAATGCATGATGGGAGCCATGAATGAGTTTTGGTTGGTGGCACCCAGAATGCACTGCAACATGCTTTATAATTGTCACCATTGTTGAGATTCACAGGCTGATTCTTGATGTCTGTGTGTGCATACTTAAAAGATTTTTTAGGAAGTTTCTTTTTTATTTATTGATTTGATCATTTAAATTTAATTGAAAAGTCTAAAAATAGTATGCTCTACAATGACAGTGCTGCTATTATTCGTAAGGTAAACTTATCTCAGAAATTCGGTTTAATATAAGTTCAGTGACTCAGGTCAAATGATTGTGAAATAATGATTATGTTAAAACACAACCAACACCATCAGATGACCTTTGTTTATTGTTCATCCGGCTGTTTTAACTCATGTACAGCAACCAAACAAAATCTAAAGTTAATAAGTTAATGGTCAAGAGCCCAACTAAAACACACACTTATCTCCATAATGGTGACTTAAACATTCCGGTTTTCTCCTTCAGAGATTCTGCTTGTTAACATCAGGTGTCTTCAATAATGCTCAATCATCACTCAGTTATTCACTTAATTAACTCATTAGCTCAGAGTTTAATTGGGTCGCTTAAAATGACCAAATTCCATGATGTTGAAGTTACATGAACATATTATGTTTGTTTAACGAAACATAGTTATGTGGAACCGGTGGAACCTGTTTACATAAAAAAGTTAAGTAAAGCCAACATATCATTTTTTTGAGTGTACCCCTTGACGTGAACGCGCAAAACGGAGGGGTAGGGCCAAGGGGTAGGGGCAAGGGGTGAATTGGGATTGAGCCCAAGTTTGTCGCGAGCTCTCTCCATCCTGAAAACGCCACGCCGATGTTGATCCTTGTTTTATTTTTCCGTTTTTCCCAAAGCCTGCTTGCCTAAGTTGATCTATGTTTATGTTTTTTGTATTTTCTGTAGATTTTTTCGCCAATCTAATCATGAACCATAATGACTGAACGACACAACAGCGGCGTGTGAGATATGGTATCATAGATATGCATACAAAGATCCCACATTAGCGGCTTACATTTAGCTATCGTGTCTATGGTTTCTACAAGCAGAAACCGAGGATATATTACGTCATTGATAGACAACGACCAGGGACGAGCCATTATTAAAAACTGGAATTTCTTTGGATCTACAAATCCTTGGGAACTTTTGGGATAATGTACACAACTGCATGAAATATATCACACTATGAAAGTGGTTTTTAAATATTTTATTACAAAAATCTTACATATTGTGCCTTTAAAACTGCAGTGAATCCAAAGACAGTCTCAAAAACACGGTTTGAAATCGCTGGTGTTTCTGACGTCACAAACTACCTTGTAACCAATCAGATCAACGTGTGATCGTCAACGAGTGGATCTCTGAGCTGTGTGAGTGAGTGAAGGCGGGGCTCATTTGCGTATTCATTGAACCGCGCATACTAAATGAGGCAAGGGTGTCGAGTTACATTCAAGATATTTTAAAGCATGAAGAAATGAATGTCATTTTGGTGATCAAAGATGAGTTTTAAGGGATAAAAATGATTGACTACAGGAGGACTTTAAGATTTTTTAATGTTTTCTGAAAGGAGTCTCTTCTGCTCACCAAGGCTATGGGCTAGTAAAACAGTAATGTTGTGAAATATTATTACAATTATTAAATGAACTATTTTCTTCTTGAATATATTTTCACATGTAATTTATTCCTGTAATCAAAGCTGAATCTTCAGCATCATTACTCCAGTCTTCAGTGTCACATGATCCTTCAGAAATCACTTTAATATGATTGAAAACATTTGCTTCAAATAAATTTGGGAAACTGTGATACACTTCCATTCAAATGTTTGATCTAGAAATATAAAAATAAATTAATACTTTTAACTAATAGTATCAGCAAGGAAGGACCAAATAAATTGATTCAAGAGACAGACATTAATGATGTTACAAAAGATTTATATTTCAAGTAAATGCCATTCTTTTGAACTTTCTATTTATCAAAGATGTTTTCAACATAGATAATAATAACCATTATTAATTACTTATTACCATTAATAATTGAAATAATTAAGCTGCAAAACAGCATATTAGAATGATTCCTGAAAGATCATGTGAATATATTTTAAAATGTAATGACATTTCACAATATTACTGTTTTCACTGTATTTTTAATCAAATCAGCCTTGGTGCACCAATGAGTGATTTTGAGTGCTCAAATGTTAAAGATGACATTTTAGGAGCTTCATCCTAGTGAGACGGTGTCCTTCTGAGGCATCTGGACTCCTCCTTAACACTGAACACTAGAACGAGACTGTCAGAAAGGTTTCCTCCACAGTCAGCCGTGAACATACGAAGTGAAGGCCTTCCCAGCATCCTCCAGATTAACGGTCTTCAATGGCAGCGAGACCCCACACTGTAAAAAAAATCCTAATTTCACAGAAAATAACTGATTTGTTGATGATCATTTTATTTCATTTTAAATTGTACTCAAAACACTGTAAAATTACAAATAATATCTGTAAAATAAAAATGCAGCTGTTATTTTAGGTATTGTGACATTAATGACAAATTCCAGTAATTCATATTTTTTTATACAGAAAATTGATTGTATTTTTCATACAGTATTTTTTCTGTTTTCTTAAATTACATAAAAATGTATGTAAAATTACAAATATAATCTGTAATTAAACAGTAACAAAACAGTTAAATGATAAAACGGTTAAATGACTGGCAGTCCAAAAAACTGTAACATTAAAGTAAAACATCATAAATGAAATAAACTGAAAAACACTGTTAAAAAAAAACGGTAAAAAAAACGTAAAAAAAGGTCAAATGACTGGCAGCTATGGCTGCCAAACAAAAACCATAAAATTTAAGTAAAATATGCTAATTTAAATAAAGTGCAAAAAACTTTAACAGAAATTTGATGTCACCATGATTGAGATCAGTGTTTGCTTTAGTTGGGTTCATGACCCTTGAGGTTTAAACATTAGTGTTTCTCTGGCTGCTTTAACTGTGTTTTTGATACACATTTGTTATGACAATAAATGCAGGAGAAAATATTAGATGATGTTGGTCTTTTATTGATGATGTTATAGTGACATTTCTGAATATATTAGTTGAGTTGTCATTGTTTAAAACTAAATTCCATCTATATATAAAGTCTATCATTCATGTCATAATTTTCCTCATGAACCTTGAAATATTATTGAAACATCTGTATTATAACAATCTGAAATTAAAAAAAAATTATTATAAAGAAAATGTTTTTAGCTGGTTTATTTTTTAGGAGTATAGAGACATCAATAATCAACATATGAATCTCAACAATGGTGACAATCAACAAAGCCTTTATGTGACTTTAGTAGTTCAGAGTTGATCACCATTGTTGTGATTCATACGCTGATTCTTGATGTCTGTGTGAGTCTGTATGATCCTGTCAAAACATTTTCTATATAATGACTTCATAAAATCTTAGTATCACAGCACTGCCTGATCTTCTATAGCAGTATTGGTATGCAAAATTAACAACTAATATTTAACAACTTTATTGATTACCACCTGAAGTGTTATAACTGATTAAGCATGCAACTACATGATGACTATTATCACTAATAAGTGACCAAGATCTTCTGATCTGAATTTCTCTTGGATTCCTACCATAACAAATATGTAACAGAGACACAGTTAAAGCAGCCAGAGAAAAAGTAATGTTAAAACCAAAGGGTCAAGAGCCCAACTAAAGCAAACACTGATCTCCATCATGGTGACATCAAACTTTATTATTTTCAATAAAACAACAACTTCTAAACCTCTGTTAATTCTCAATAAGAATGTTAGTATGAGAGAAATAAAGTCTGGATTGTAATAAGTGAGGATGCAGAGATCTTGAGAGATGTGTTAGTGTTTAATGTTCTGTTGGGATGTAAATTGTTTCTGTATGGTGTGTTTTGTGGGTCACCATTGTGTTGAAGAATAGAGCCTGTGCTTCAGTCCAGGATGAGCGGAGTAACACTGATGAAATGCTGTGTGTTGCTTTATTTAACAGACAGTAACTGTGTAGTTGCTGATGCAGTGACGTATAGTCACAGTAAATCATGCATGTAGTTACCTACATGTTTTTTAGTAAAAAATTCAGGAAATAATGTGAAATAACTGTGTTTCTGTTAAAAAGCTTAATGAAGATTTCTGCTTTTGGACTTATTTAAATTAGGATATTTTACATAAATTTTATGGTTTTTGTATGGCAGCCATTGCTGACAGTCAATGGCTGTTTTTTATGGGATTGTTTTTACAGTTAGGGGTTTTGATCGTAATAATTCAGATGATAGCTGTAAAATAACAGTGTTTTTCTGTAAAACATTTAAGAAAAATATCTGTAAAAGTTTTTTTTGCACTTAATTTAAATTAGGATATTTTACTTTATTTCTACGTTTTTTGTTTGGCAGCCGTAGCTTTTTATACGATTTTAATTTTTACAGTGCAGATCTGGCGAACACACAGCCTCATAAAACAGATGGAAAGTCAAAATATCAGCACTTGTGGAAAAGCATCAAGAAAGAGGAACAGATTTAAACACCCAAGAAAAAGAAACAGAAGAATTTGTGATTTCTGACTCATTACAAGACAGAATTTCAGGCTATTAAAGAAAACAACACTTCTCTAGTTTATTCCAAACATCCCTCATACATAATTATTAAATTAGTTTGATACCAACATACAGATTACATTATTTTACATGTAATAACTGTAATGGAATACAAAGTACTACATATTTAATTATACATTTTTGTAAAATTGCAGTCCAATATCAAAATACATTCTAAAAAGTATTTTTTTTTTCCTGCTGAGATTTCATTTTTAGTGGTAATAATAATTTAGTGGACATACTATAAACGGTTCTGAGACAAATACAGTGCTTTGTGTACAGAAAAACATAAAACCTGCTAACTTTACTAGCTATTATACAATGTCTGTTTACAACTTTAACAAGTGACTCTTCTTTGGCTCATGCACTACAGCAGAGGCGTCCTGCAGTTTCCTCCACACACTTGAGCCTATCAGAGCTCGATCAGCGGCTTCAGGTGTGTTTAACTCCGCTTCAGGTGTGTTTAACTCCGCTTCAGGCGTGTTTAACTCCGCTTCAGGTGTGTTTAACTCCGCTTCAGGAGTGTTTAACTCCGCTTCAGGAGTGTTTAACTCCGCTTCAGGCGTGTTTACCTCCGCTTCAGGTGTGTTTAACTCCGCTTCAGGCGTGTTTAACTCCACTTCAGGAGTGTTTAACTCCGCTTCAGGTGTGTTTAACTCCACTTCAGGAGTGTTTAACTCCGCTTCAGGTGTGTTTAACTCCGCTTCAGGTGTGTTTAACTCCGCTTCAGGTGTGTTTACCTCCGCTTCAGGTGTGTTTAACTCCGCTTCAGGCGTGTTTAACTCCGCTTCAGGTGTGTTTAACTCCGCTTCAGGAGTGTTTAACTCCGCTTCAGGCGTGTTTAACTCCGCTTCAGGTGTGTTTAACTCCGCTTCAGGAGTGTTTAACTCCGCTTCAGGCGTGTTTAACTCCGCTTCAGGCGTGTTTACCTCCGCTTCAGGTGTGTTTAACTCCGCTTCAGGCGTGTTTAACTCCACTTCAGGAGTGTTTAACTCCGCTTCAGGTGTGTTTAACTCCACTTCAGGAGTGTTTAACTCCGCTTCAGGTGTGTTTAACTCCGCTTCAGGAGTGTTTAACTCTGCAGGACAGTGACCCTCCAGGAGCAGGATTTCAGGAGTCCAGGATGATCTATGACATTTGGCAGGATGTGTAGTATTCAACCAGAGCAGACTGCATGATGTCATTTCAAATGATATTTACAAAACTATTCACTAATCCTAATAGCAGTATTCCTTTTTGAACACATCCTGCCTGTTTGCACAGAACAAAGTTCTCACTGTGTGTTCTGATTAAACTGACACTAACATTACATCATCTGACAATTTCAATGTCACTAAAATACTATTCACAAAATCCTATTTAGTATGCTTCTCCTTTCTTGTGGAGTCCATTGAGTGCATGCGGTCATTAAAGCTAAAGCTAATACCAAAGGATATTCAGGAAATTTCAATGTCGACTTTATGTTTAACAATTCATCTAACTGAAATAGTTGTGTTGATCATAGAATTTGTATTCAAAAACCTGTATTAAAATGGAAAATAGAAGCATTTTCATACATGGACTTTTGAACCACACTATTATAGCCTATGCAAAAGATAAAATGCAATTAAGAAATTATATTAAATGATCATATCATATATTGATATTAGGTAATCAACCATGAAAGGGAATGCATGAACTGATACAACGAACTGAATGCACTGTAAAGGCCCCGATGCACTTCAAGCGTGAATCGAAGAACGAACTGGTGTGACGTAATTTCTAAACAAATCAGGCCAAAACCAAATTAGTTCGGAGTTTGTTTCAGGAGTTCAAAACAGGTTTACGGACACTTTAGGGAAAAGTTTGCTCCGGCTGGTAAACAAACCACCATTGGTCGGTGGCGATGATGTAATAGGTGTGTGTGTGCCGAGGCTCCGCCTTCTTCGCCATGGAAATCTTCTCCAGTTCATTTCTTCTGTTGAGTCCGTCGAGGTCAAACACGAGTAAAAACATGAACACACTGCTATATAGAAAATTAAGTTGTAATTCTTATTTAAAGACACACTGACAGTTTTTCCATGTTTAATACTGTATAGCTGCTTGCTTCTAAGCAATCTGTTGTATAAAGTGCTATTAATAAAGGTGACGTGAGTTAACTGGAGTGCATATCCAGATCGCTATGATCAGATGCTTCCTCGACCACTGTTTTCTCACCGCTGTCATTTTTGTTGTGTTTATTTTGCTATTGAGAGGAAAGCGTGCAGCACATATTTGCATATTCATCTGACGCTGCTCTCAGCAGCGTGGGCGGTTTCGGGATGTTCACTAACTGTTTTTTACCCTTGAGTAAACAACAAAAAAGAATTTACATCGGGGCCTTAAGTCGCTTTGGATAAAAGCACCTGGCAAATGCATTCATGTAAATATGTGCTGCTTTTCCAATGGGAATGGTCAAATAAAGAACTCTTCTGCTTGTGCGTGTGGATGGCGACTCTGGAGCAGAGACTCGCGCTTCGCCGTGTCAGAGGTCCACTGCGGCTCAGACAGCACATGCTTCAGGTCCCGGGACAGGGTCACCAGCGCAGACACCCCTACAGCACAACCCGTGTCCACATTGGTCTCAGGCTCCTCCTCTTCCAGCAGAAGGCATGATGTAGAGGTGTCTGAGGGTCCCGCCGGCTCACACCAGTTCACGGACTGGCCCGCCGGGCTGCTGCGCTGGGACGAGTAACAGGAGCTTCCCGGAGGAGTGCTGCAGGTGCCGTCTGATCCCGCCACTGACCTCAACCCTCGAGGAGACCGTCCCACAGGCTGCTCCCTCACACGGGACGGCCTCCTGCAGGGGGAGGTGGCAGCTGCCCCGTTCCTCAGATGCATCCTGGGACAGCTCAGGGGAAACGCAGACGTGTGGAGCGCCTGGGCTTGAGCTGGGGCGCTAACCTGCAGAAGAGGCCATGCTTTATCAGTTCAACACAATTCACACTTTTAAGGAACAATTTTTTTCAGAGTGTTTATCAGAGGAGTCCAAGACCCAAGGACTTTTGTCGCACTTTTGTGGTTGAAATTTAAAAAAGTAACAAATCCTTCCTTCGCGGGTCAATTTGACCCCCTGAGAAATGAACTGAATGCGAGGAATGCTTTAGTACACATAGAAACACGTAACAATGCTCAAAATTCAAACTAAAAATGCTAAAACTTTCCCAAGATATTATTTTATAATGTCTACATGTGTATCTGAATGCATCCTGAAGAGAAACTGATTTTAGGACCCAGAGGAACAGCTCATTTGCTCTATATAGACAGAGCTATAAAGGCTATCTAGTGGCTGGAGTCATGAAATATCATGTTATATATTTTTTTTTCCCCACAAGAGGTCGGCAAAGAAAGAAAGAAGAAAAAAAAGATTTTACCCGATGTAAAATATTTTGAGCTGAATTAAAAGTTGTGCATTAAATTGTGAGTTATTTTGAATTTAAATTGAAAGAATGTGAGGAATGTGCTTAAATTACTATTTATTTGTTATTTATTGATCAAATCTAGTCATTTTGCCATCATGGCTTTTATACATTTGTTCAATTATTTCCAAATTATTTGCTTGCTATTTGCTGTTTTAGAACAAAAGGCTTTCTTTACAAATATAAAATTTCCTAATGGGGTGGAGTTGGGGTTAGGAATATTTCTGAACAGATACATACATCAACTTTAAAATAAATGCATGTACAAAATGTGACCTTTTTGTCCATGTTTTCAGTCAGCGTAGTTCGTCACAGCAGCACGTGTGGGATAAGCTGACAATTTCAAAACAACCTTAATATGTAGCAGATAAATTTAGGAAAATTATATCAAAATTAACCAAAACGAACCAAAACTGTTTGGTTACCAACATTCTTCAAAGTGTCTTGTTTTGTGTTGTGCAGAAGAAAGAAAGTCATTCAGGTTTAAAACGGCATTAGTAAATGATGACAGACTTTTCAATTTTGGGTGTCGCTTTACAGTTTTTTTCGATTGCTAAACGCCAGTGAGCACAACTGGAGCTACATGTGCAAAACTGTAACTACAGTCTGCACAGCAGCAGTTCATGTGGACCAAACTCTAGCTCGTTTTTCAGTGCTTGAACACAGTTTTCAAAACTCTACACACTTACCCCATGACTTTAACCACAACCTGCACAACACTGTGGATTTACAGCACTTTGTTCAAATGCTAACACACTGCTGTCAAAACTGTGAACCACACATTCAAAACAGAATAGATTTCAGCCTTGTGCATTTCAAACACTGCTGATTGCAATTTCAGCTGAAAGGCTCAATTATTTGTTCGAATTACAGTATGTAGCCTACTTTTAGTTTCTACCTTTTTTTTCTCATTACTGTAATTCCATAAATTACTACAGACTATTGAAGCAAACTGCTAATTTTCAATAACCTTAAAGAATTGCTATGTTCTAAAAATTTTAATAAATCATGTGAAAGAATGTCACTCTTTTCTTTGAAGAAAATATTACTTTGTATGAAGTCACTGAAATTGTTCAAACTGTAAAGATGAAAAGTTTGTATTTTCTGTATTGGTGTTTGATGCTTGTGTTTTTACTCTCAGTGTGTTCTGAGTGACAGTGTGTGTTATCTCAGTGAGGGTTGTGCAGTGTTTGTCTGCATGAGCCTGTTTTGAGCCATGTGTTAAGAGTTGTGTTGCTTGGAATGGGTTTTGCAGGTGATGTGAACTGTTTAGCTCAGGTGACTGTTGGTAGTGCAGACTGTAGTTAGAGCACATGTAGCTCCAGTTGTGCTCACTGTCGTTTAGCGATCGAAAAAAACTGTAAACAATAATGCTTGACATATTACAATATGAATTATCAAGCTATACACTGTGCATATACCACAACCTGCAGCATATACAACCTTCCACTTGAGTTGACTTGGTCTTTTGACAAAATAATTAGACAAAATAACTGATTAAAGTTTATTTCATAAATGACGAATTTTGTGACATCGACACTGTCATTTAACTAAATTGAATCAACAATAAACTGACTCAAAATGAATAATGACACTATTGTCTTCTGTCCAGCTGCTTATAGCTGAATTGAATTAATTTCATAATTGAACTTTACACGGTTATTGAACTGAACTGAATAATGAACAGAATATTGATTTTTTTTTTTTAAAGCTGCTTTATGGCAGAATCTGAACTTGACACAAGTTCGCATCATTGATTGGTATTTTCCTGTTTATCACTGTGAAGCTGCTTTGAAACAATCTGTATTTTTATAAAGCACGATAGAAATAAAGGTGACTTGACTTGACCTAAACTCTGCATAAGAGACTTGTGGACATCTAAAACTTCATGGGATAAGTTCTTCGCCACTGTCGCCTTTATCCACCTTTTTTTCGCCTTTGTCGTCATTGGCTTTTGGCGACATTTAATTTAATATTCAACAATATTATTGATCTGCCAGCGTTGACACTATTAAGAACTAAACTGAGCTGTACGATGACATCACGGTTTTCTCCAGAGCGGCTATATATATATAAATGAACTAAATTAATAACTTTTTTACAACAAAAATTAACCATTACTGAACTTACCTAAGCTGGACGGTGACGCTATTTTCTTCTGGAAACAAACTTTGTTGCATTATTTTCCTGTTATCTCTGTAAAGCTGCTTTGAAACAATGTAAAAAGTGCTATATAAATAAATGTGACTTGACTTGACTAATAAAAATATACAGTATACAGTATATATAGCTTAGTTAACCTGTATATATATATATATATAATAGGGGTTTAACAATATATCGTGCCACAATATATGGCAATTCAAAAATACAGCAATATGTATCGTGGATAGTGACAATCTGTATTTTATATACTTTACCCAAAATGAAAATTACTGTGACAAAAAAAAATCAAGTTTACAGAGTTTTAGTGTCAGTACTACATTACACTACAATATATAATGTTGAATATAATGTATAATAATGCAATGGGGGAATATTTGTGGGTCCTGATTATGCCAAATGTCTTCTGTTACCAGTAAAGAGTGTCCTACATTATTTTAAATGTATCTAGTCAGTGACAATAATTCTGTTTTCAGCTTCAGAATCATGAATATTGTTATTCTGGTGTCTCTATTGGGTTATCAACACCAAGTCCAAGCCCATTCATTTACACCCACAATGTAACACCAAATACACCATTTTAATCAACAGTACATTTTTTGTTATTGTGAGTTCAGTATCGTGATATGTATCGAATCGGGACATGAGGGTACAGTTACACCCCTAATATATATATATATATATATATATATATATATATATATCTGGCTATAGTAACTAAAGTAAATTTAAGTCAAATATCATATATTAAAGAACCCCATTGGTTTAGGGTTGGTTTATATCATGGTTTGCCAGTATAAGAGGGGATATAGAAACCAGAGCACATTCCCGTGACCCACCTGAAAGAGGATCTTGTTGCCGTCCAGGTCTTCAGTGTGCCATCGGGTGGAGCTGATGGGCGAGCAGGTGTTGGGCAGCAGGGGCACGAGCTGTCCGATCTCTCCCACGCTGAACTGCAGCACGGCGGAGCAGCACGGCTGCACCCGCACCCCCGGCGAGAGCTGCTTGATGGCCAACTGCAGCCGGAAGCCTTGCTCTGAGAGCAGGGTGAACCAGACGAACCCGGGCTTCTGCTCCTCCGCCCTCCTCCGCAGAACGGTCTCGTACAAACGCACGCTGTCCTCAAAGTTATCATAGGTGCTGTGAAGGGTCACTCGCACCACCTCCTCCCCGTAGTGCACCGTCCGCACCCCCCACACCGGCATCCCCGCGCCCAGGCTGGAGAAGTCCCGGCTGGGCAGGAGGTAGGGCCTCAGTGGGGCGCTGGCCGGGGAGTTAGCGCTAAAGCTCTCCGCGTGGTGGATCTGCCAGGGCGGGCGCTGCAGAAAGTCCAGCACCCTGAGGATACGCTCCTCCCCGAAAGACTCGTGCAGGAACATGGTCACCGCGAGTGAGGGGAAGCCGTCCGCGGGGCACAGGTCAGTCCTGGCGTCGTCCTGAAGGGGACAGGCGCGCTCGGACACCCGGAAGAGGCGCAGACCGGGCCGGACCCAGCGGAGCAGGCGGTCTAGGGTGAGCTGGAGCAGGAGCGAGTCCCCAGGGTTGGTGAGCAGGTGCAGGGTGACCAGGAGGCGCTCCTCCTGACCCGGGCCGGACACGAGCTCAGCTGTGCAACAGGCAGACAGGAACATATCACAGCAGATCTGGCTGAATCACACGCCTGGCTGCTGGTGTGATAGGCTATTGAATGTAATGTATGGAAAATGGACTTACTGCTGCTGCTACTGCAGGACATTTTACCGCAGTCAGATCTAAAGAAAGAAGAAAAACACGGTAACACTTTATTTGGATAGTCCACTTTAGACATTCTACTAACTATAAATAACTTTGCAACTACATGTCAACTAACTCTCATTAGAGTATTAGTAGACTATGGTTATGGTTAGGGTTCGGGTTAGGATAATAAGTTGACTTGTAGTTGCCAAGTTACTTATAGTCAGTATAATGTCTGTTGAGGAGCATCAAAATAAAGTGATAGCAGATATTAAGCAGACAGTCTATTAATACTCTAATGAGAGTTAGTTGACATGAAGTTGCAAAGTTACTTATAGTTAGTAGAATGTGTAAAGTGGACTCCAAATAAAGTGTTACCCTTTATTTTTGATGGTCCCTTTTGAACATTCTTTTGACTATAAGTAACTTTGCAACTTCATGTCAACTTATTCTAACCCACACCCTGCCAGTCTACTAATACTCTACTAACACTCTTATAATGAGAGTTAGTATAGACATATAAGAGCAAGGTTACTTATTGTCAACAGAATGTGTTAAAGGGACCATCAAAATAAAGTGAAACCAAAAACACTTATTATAATGGGTTTAAAGGGGTCATATAATGGTACATGCACTTTTACAAGTTGATTGTACTGAAATGTGTGTTGGCAGTGCCTGTACACAACCATCATATAACCAATGATAAAAATCCATCCAGTGTTTTTGTTTTAATCTCCTTATATGTTTCCCCTGCCTCAAATTGAGCCGTTCGATTTTGTGACGTCACACGCTCGGAAGCCCCTCCCACGATTGTTGATTGACAGCAACGTTTCAACACAGACCCGCCCTCGCTCATGAGGGAGCTGTCAATCATAGTCCGCGCGGCGCGGACCGGCGCGGTCATTGTTGATATGCTGGAGCACTGTCTATGAGCAGAATGGCGTCTAAGCAATTGTGGTGTTCTGTTCTTGGGTGCAATAACGAACACAGCAGTCATTTTGATGTTCCTAAATCCGAACCGCTGAAGACGCAGTGGCTGAGTTTGTTTTCGAAGGGAATATTCCCCACGAGCAACGTCAATGCTCTCATGTTTGCGCGAATCATTTCACACACCAGACTGCTTTATAAACGAGGGTCAGTATAAAGCTGGTTTTGCTAAGAAGCTGCTCATGAAAAAAGGATCGGTACCAGCTATTCGTGTTCCTGCTGAACCTCTAGAACAACTGAAGTGAGTGTAACGTTTTATTAAACTTTATATTAATATTTATATTAATCTTTGCAAATCGCTAGCTGCACGCTTCACAATGAATGCCTCTAAGGTTTACACTCAGGGTACATTACGGCATGTTTTCTATGTATGATGTTCTCAATATAATTCATAATCCCACGTTTATACTGAACAACGCGTTATGGTTATTGTGTTATTGTGTTACAAACGGTTAGCACAGAACAGAAGGGCGGGGTCAGCAAAGCTCATGATCATTTAAAGTCATATGCACTGAAATGGCGTGCTGAAAACAGAGCTGTTTTTGACCAAGTAAAATAACCGTTTTCTTACAATAATGAGAATTTTTAATTAAAGTATATTACAAACTTTTAATTTAGACCCTAAAGAATCATATTAGCTTCTACAAAAATGGCATTATATGACACCTTTAATCATGGGCGTAGGTTTGGTCTCAGCTTTGGTGGGGACATCCACCCCCCCCCCCCCCCCCCCCCCCCCCACGCGAATTATTTTGTTGTAAGATTACAGTGCTTTAATGGCGATTTCCTTTGTCATTTCAGACTGCTGGCAATACAGTATATCACAATACAGCAGTGAATCTACTTCATCTCATTATATTGTATCCTGACCCCGATACACCATCCTGTATACTGTCAATAAAGAGCTAGTATAACTGTATAATCTCAAAAATGCACTCTCAAAAAATTAAAACCTTAGACTGTGTAATGCTGAACAACCAAACATTTTATTTAACATAAATTATTATGTACATTAGTTTCCGTGCTGCACACCCCTAATTAATGCTCCTAACCTTGAAAGATTGCAGAAGCAAGGTTTAACTGTAACAATATCCTGGGTAACCAGGATCACTAGTTAATACTATTTTCCACAGTAGAATCTGCATTTGAAAGCCTGGTCAGTCACTACTACTGCTAGTTATTTGTGTGGCTATAGTTATTTTGTACGGTGGCCGAGACAGCTCAACGCGCTGCAACTGAAGCAAACACATGCAAATAGAGAAAAACGCGTGCAAATAGAAAAAAACGCATGCAAATAGAAAAAAACACATGCAAATAGAAAAACACACGTGCAAATAGAAAAAAAACACGTGCAAATAGAAAAAAACACCTGCAAATTAAAAAAACATCTTCATCAGTTTCACAACACACGTGTGCTCCAAATAAGGAAATGCGCTGCAAAAGTTCACAACACAACCAAATACAGAAAACGCGCTGCAAATAACACAGACCACAACGGAAATGTTTCCAGGGGAACCAAATAAGTGACGAACCCGGCTGAGACGTGCTTATTGCTCGTGAGCTTCCCTATGCCATACTCCCTTCGAAGGGCAGATATTAGAGCCCTTTTGGAGTGAGCAAGGCTCTAGTGGGCTGTTAGGCAGCCGTGTGGAGCGCACTTGATGAAGGGAGCAACTAAAGACATCGTGGGATGTTCCCATGACAACGCAGCACGGTGTCCATCAGCTGGTCTTACGACAGTAATATGATGCTGTTAACATAACGGATGCAAATACATTTTTATTTTTATTTTACAAAAAAAGCTTTTAAAATATGCGTTATATATCTGTGTCTCAACTTAAAAATTTTGGACCCTACATTACCTAACATTTCTTACGAAACTTTTCTTTATGAAAATGTAATAACATGAAACAATTTGTACAGTGTAACTGATCTATAGTTAAATATCTTTCCTTCATGTTTTTCTTCTTTATCTTTTTTATTTATTTATTTTAGTTTCCAGCTCATTGTTCTTTTCTCATTTGTATTCTGATGACATTGAACATATTGTTAATACATTTTGTACATTGTATACAAGTTGTATGTCATAAAAAATGTAATCTCTGTATGTTTTGCACAAACAAATAAATAAATAAACAAATAAATAAAGTATAATTTTAAGCTGTAAGCACCAGCACGCATAGATTTATGGATATCAATGGATATGGATATATGCCAGCACGTCCCAGCCGGGTTCGTCACTTATTTGGTTCCTCTGGAAACATTTCCGTTGTGGTCTGTGTTATTTGCAGCGCGTTTATGTATTTGGTGGTGTTGTGAGTATTTGGAGCACACGTGTGTTGTGAAACTGATGAAGATGTTTTCTTAATTTGCAGGTTTTTTTTTTTATTTGCACGCGTTTTTTTCTATTTGCATGCGTTTTATTTTATTTGCATGTGTTTTTTTTCTATTTGCACGCGTTGTTTTCTATTTGCATGTGTTTTCTTCTATTTGCATGTGTTTTCTTCAGTTGCAGCGCGTTGAGCTCTCTCGGCCACCGTAATTTTGCCTACTTACACTCTGCTTTATGAAAAAGCTTCGTATGTCCCCTTTCTTCTTCTTGGGTGACATAGCTGATCTACAAAGTACAAAAAGGGGCAAAAAAAACGGAATATTAAAATGTTTTACTCTGGCATTTGTATATGGGAGGCAGAGAGACAGCCCTGGTAACTTGTCGGCGTCGTCACGCGCGCACACGCACACACCACCCGCTCGCTGCCAGTGAGTGCAAGCACAGAAAGTAGTCCCGGCCCGCACGTGTAGCCTGTCAATCAAAATACGGCGTATCTTGTACTGTCGTCGTCCTGGCCGTTTGAATCGATCCAAATAGCAGCGCAAGTATCAAAATAGCAGTTCAAAGGAGCTTGCTAAATATTGGTGGGGACAAATTTGTCATCTCAAAATATTGATTGGGACTAGTACCTAGCGTCCCCCCCTAAACCTACGCCCTTGCCTTTAATACTGTTCTTATGACATCCATCGTTTAGCATGGCGTATCAGCTCATGCAGCAATAACCCTATTATGACCTAAAGTTCATGAAACCGGTTTTAATTATCATTTTCATTAGTGTCCCAGAAACCAAACAACATTAAAAACTTTTTAATGAAGTTTAATTGGTAACACTTAACAAAAAACATTAGTTAACATTACTGTATTAATTAACATGAACTAACAATGAGCAACACATTTGTTATATTGTTCATCTTTGTTAATGTAAATCGTGTATTCATGTTAGTTCACAGTTCGAATGTTAACAAATGTAACATTTGATTTTAATAACGTATTAGTAAATGTTGAAATAAATATTAACTAAGATTAATAAATGCTGAAGAAGTATTTAGTCATTCTAAAGTAGTCAACTAATGTTAACTAATGAACCTTATTGTAAAGTGTTACCGTTTAATTCAAATGTTCATTCAATCAAAAGAAATAAGTCTTAATGTTGCATACAAACGAATAATAGTTGTGTGATTTAGATTTTGTAGCCGTAACGTCATGTTTTACTATTTGATCACAGCGCATATTAGAAGGAAAAAAGTTGTTTGTATTGTTACAGTGTACCGTTTGTTGCTGACGTCATAAAGCATTCGGCTGCTGTCGGTTACCGTGTTTCTCCCCCTTAGAGACGCAAACAAAAGTGAGTTTATCTTTAGCTTTCTCCGCTAACTCACCCCGCAGTGTCCGCGCCCGAGTCCGCCGTTTCATCCTCCGTCCTGCCCGTGAAGAGAAGCGGTTGTCGGAGGAGCATAATGTGCGTTTACTCGAGCGCAAACCCCGCTGTAAACATGCTCGGCGAGCGTCGTACAAACCCGCTTGTGTTCGAGGAGTCGAGTTCACGCTGACGTCACTTCAGCGTACATCATTTATGACGATGAGGCACTCTAACTATAAACCTAAAATATCAAGGTAACCGATCTTTTAGATGGAGTCGCTACTAGATGAAGTGTCTTTCAAGAACACAGTGACTTGAGTCGGGGGAAGGGCTCCTCACAATAACAGTCGAGACAGGGGTCTGAACCCGAGCAGATGCTGTCATCGGACGAGTGTGTGTGTGTGTGTGTGTGTGTGACACTTGGATTATCAATGTGAGCATCAATCCATTTGGATTGATATTGTGTATCTACTGCTATAAAATTGAGATATTTAGTGTCACGCACAGTGTGGCAAAATAAGGGACGCCCATTCACATTTTTGTCAAATAAAAATCAATAGATCCATCCAACACAATGCATATCATACATACACACAAATGAAGGGGGGATCCTGTACAACATTCTCAATGTGGTAAACACTCACTCTCTCTCTCTCTCTCTCTCACACCCACGCGCGCGCACACTAACACACACACACACACACACACACACACACACACACACACACACACACACACACACACACACACACACACACACACACACACACACACACAAAGCATTCAATGAGCCTATAACTGAGCCGTTTTTTCATTTTTTTTTTTCAAAAAAAAGTCACTCACACAAACAAAAACAAAACAAATAATGAGCCAATTAGGATACTATGCATCCTGATAAAGTTCTTTGGACCTTTGGAATTAAAATAGCCCCACATCATCACATACCCTTCACCATACTTGACATGGGGTACTTTCCATAAGATCATCTCTCAATGCAAATCAAATCAGCTATTAGGCTAACTGAAATCACACCATGCCAATCTCTAGGTATGGTGAAGGGTATGTGATGTCACGTACAGTTTGTCCCATTGAAGGCCTATACAACCAAAACTTTCATGCTTCAAAGTTGATAAAGACAATGTAAATGTAATCCATAAGAATCTAGCGGTCTTCTGAAAAAAAAAAAATCTATTCACTTGTAAATATTGATCAATGCTTTCATGTGCGAGAACAAACATTATCAGTTCCTGCGGAAACTCCAGTGCTTGTTACATGCGAGAACTACCTTCACTGGTCATGTGCCATATGTGATGTACTCTATGCATGCACGTTATTCAATGTTTATATGTGAATAAAAAGAATGAGATGTTGTGTGAACAGTTGAATGTTAAGTAGAAATGTGTAATTTCACAAAGCTATCGCTTCTTTCATGTCCTGACTCCCAGGATCCTCCACTGTGAAGACTACAGCAAGACGAACAGTCTGACCCAAAACGGCCAATCCTTTTATTGTTTTTTTCCCGTTCTTTTTCTACATTTATTGATGAAAACAAGGCCCTGTACAGTTCACTTCAGCATTGAGTACAATAACAATTATTTTACAATTTATACACATTGAAATATAATAATGCTGAAAACCCAAACTGCCCCCCATCCCAGTTCAAACTGCATTCAAAAGAGAATTCCTTTAAAATAAAACGTTTTTAAGTCATCTTACAATTGGCCATGTCAGACATGAAGAAAGAAAAAAAAAAACTGCGAGGGAAAAAATACAACCAAACCACCTTTTTGTGTGCGGTGCAAGTCCACCTGTGTCCACTCCGGCGCCCTGACAGCGAGGCACAGGCGACCGCAGGCAGAGATGAGGACCTGAACGAACTATAAGGTGCCATGAACCAAACTCGCTTACACACACCGAAGAAGAAAAACTAAACAAAAAAAAAAAAAAAACAGAAGGAATTTCCAAATGATATGAATGGTCTTAATGATATCCAATGATGGGACACTGTGTGACTTAATTTATTAATTTGGTTGTATGATTATAAGGGACAGACACAAAAAAAAAAAACAATTCTCTCATAGAGACCAAGACCTTCTGTAAAAGCTTTGAATCTAATCCAGTGGAAAGCCTTGTGGGAATCGGTAAGAACAATTTAAAACAAGTTCATTAGAATGTGAGGTTTTCTTCTCAGTTTATTCCCAGTACGAATGACAACAAAGGCAAAAAAAGGACATAAAATAAAATAAAATAACATCCCATGTGAGGTGTGTGACAAAGTCCCAAAAACGATGCTTGCTTGCTCACTCTCACTCGCTCTTTCATGCCAGATTCACCTTCGCTGCTTCATGCTACATATGTGTACACTTTGCGATCTTCTGGTGTTCTTGCCAAGTATTCTCTCTCAATAAGTCCTTCAATACGCTTTTTAATGACCACGGGACTCGGGAGAAACCGGGCCTTCAGCTGCTGGGTTACCTAAAGGCAAACACACACGAGACAAGCTGAACTTCTACCAACAGAAGCCCAAAAACACATTTCTGAATACAGTGAAACGGGAAATGCTGATGATCTTATTTTACGTGGCCCTCTTAGTCCCCACAAACACCACAGACATCACAGTTGAACAAAAAAAAAATACTATTTCAAATATTATTGCATCAAAGTTTTCAAAGCATTTATGAAAAACGTATTTTTATTATATGATTCCAAGTAAAATATGAATAAAGGTCTGTGTGTAATATTGATCAAAACTGTACATTAACAAAACCGATCTGATGATTTAATCATTGATCAGAACTGTTCTGTCCTACTCTAGACTTCAACTTCATTATGCTTTTATGCTATATACTAGGGCTGGACGATTTTGGCTAAAATCATAATCGCGATTAATCGAACAAGTTTCCTCGATTACGATTATTGAACGATTATTTAAAAAAAAAATGTCATATGTCACTGGCAAGGCCTATACTGCAAATATGTATGTATTTTTTTTCTAATGAAAGTGTGCATAATCCTAGGGCTGGGCGATAATTCGATCTCGATACGGTATCGCGATAAAATTTTGAACGATTTCGATAATATGCTTGGGACATATTATTCGGTATCACATGAAAAAGTAAGCGCAACAACAACAGTATCAGAGTCTGCCGTATGCCGGTAGGACACGCCCACTTCTCAGCGAGCAGCCGTGGCTACAGTAAACAGGAGACAGAGAGAGGGAGACATTTTTGGAAAAAGGAGAAAAAATGAGCGAAACTGAAGTTGAGGACAGCGAAAATAATGCCGAACGTGAAGGCGACATCTCTACATCATTCGAGACCGAATACATTGTTGAAAAAAAAGGTAACGCGACGTCAATTGTGTGGACGTGGTTTGGATATGGCAAAAACGACCAGGAACAATAATAAAAGCGAGATGTCGACTATGTTAGATAATTGACATCTCTAACAGGGCTCGACATTAACGCTTTACCGGGAGACAAGTGGATTTTTTTAACTAGGGACAAGTAAAAGAGAATTTTACTTGCCCGACCGGACAGTAGCCTGATTAGGACATCAATAACAAACAAAAATAACCAGGGAATCACTAAACCGAGAGAATGATTCTGATTTTATTACATTTATTGTAAGTTGCGATCAATTGTGGATAATAAATGTATTACTGACGGTAAAGTTGCGCTGTTGACGCTCGTGCAGCCTCTCGAAGAGAAATCTAACTTACAGACATGAGCGCAGCACACACATACACACACACACTGTTAACAACATACTTCCAATAAAATATCTAGATGTGGAGTTTTTATATTTTTAACAAGCAGCCTCAATTATTTTTCCTGAATACCATCATGATTAAAAATGTGACATTGATTTCCTACAACAGTTCAATAAACAGTTACAATTAAGTCACTTACATTTTAGATGCAATATTGGCTGTTTTTGTTCTGTTTCAGCAGCGAAAATAGTTCTAAACAAAAATCACAGCAGAACCACGAGGCATCTCAGAAGAACACTCACTGTTTTCATTACTGAATGAATCAGCATTTTGAACGAATCGGTTGAGTCAAAGATTCAATGACCCATTCATAAACATCTGTCTCATTCTTGAATGAATCAACCGTTTGAACGAATCGTTTGATTGAATGAATCCATGACTCACTCATTAAGACAGTCGCCTGCCACCACCTACTGGCGGTTTAGTGTTATGTTTATAAGTAGTATCATTCTTTCCAATGTTTCTTATATGTATATTTAAATCAATTTCATAACGTTATTTTATGCAAATTGTAATTTGTAAGTGTAAATTATTTAATTTGATCAGCCCTATATAGGGTAACAGCCATAGTGTCTTATTATTCTAAATAATTGAATTTATTGATCAAATTTAGGAATTTTAAAATGAAAGATGAACATTCATACATTTAATAATATTGGGGGAGGGGATGCCCTTTAAAGGTGCAGATATTACAATATGCCGATTTAAATATCAAAGCTGATTGAACACTGATGAGAATATTGCTTCAGAATAAATTAACACACAAAAAAAAATCCGGACAAGTGAATGACAGATTTACTTGTCCGAAGGACAAGCACATGAAAAGGGTTAATGTCGAGCCCTGACTAATATGGGAGAATCAGCGCTAGCTAGCCATGCTAAAGGCGCCAAGCACCAGGCAGTTGTGGCTGTGCGTGTTAAACCTCTGAGGGTAAACTTTAACACTTTTTTAGTCTTATAATGACATTTTCAGGAATACATATGAAAATGTGCCGAAAAGTCATGAAAAAGTCATGGAAAAGTATTGGTTAAAATGTGTATGAACCCTGGTAATGTGAATCCTTGGTCTGCATGAAGACCTTAACAAAAATGTTTTGTGCTCATCATTGGAAGGTATATTGTTTATTTTTTATGTTATTAAACTTTATTCGAAAGTTTCAGTGAATCTCTTATTTCTTCAAGCTTCAGGATATCCCTTACACTGGCAACATCTGCAAAAACTACATATCGTGATAAGAATCGAGATCGATCAATATGGAAAAACATATCGTGATAAAACATTTTTCCATATCGCCCAGCCCTACAATCCTCTCTTTGTGGTTCTAAAATAAGGAAACACACAGATAGCTTTTAATGCTTATTAAATATTTCAAAATATTAAAAAAATTAGAAAATAGTTATTTTTGTAAACAATAAATTATTGTAAATATTGCCATATATATTGTAAAATATAACTTGTATAAAACTAAAAAACGAATCCTTTTCATATTTTGTAGCATTTGTAAATGCTTTTGTTATCGGAGGCTGCTT